CATAACATTGTTTTGATCTTAAGCACCACCAGCTGAAGTGTAATGTTTAGATGAAGGAAGGTGACAGTCTGGCTGTGCTCTGCTGGGGTGACACCACAGCTGGAGTACTGTGTTCCATTATTTCAGGCGCTGTGTTAATAAGCTGGAGCCCATGCAGGGATAAGTGACCAGATTGGTAGTAAGGGAACTGGGACCCAAGGTATTTGAGGATATATTAAAGGCATAAGTATGAAAGTTCTCTGAAGAATTTTGGAATTGCATGACATGGGAGACAGTGGCACAGGACCGCCCAGCATGGCAGGCCCGCGTGAAAGAAGGTGCTGTTCTCTGTAAGTAAAGCAGAATTGAAGTAGCTCAAAAGAAACAGGACATGGTGCAGTTAGAGAATCCACCCCAAATGTTAACATGGGCTATTAGTGCCCGACCTGTGGTAGAGCATGCCAAGCTCGTATCGGTCTGATCAGCCATAGTCGGACACACTATAACTTGACTCAATAGTGATGCCATTTCAGTCCTCTTTGAGAACAAAGGACAGCAACCAGCCAACCAACCAAGAAATGAAAGACCTACGGAGACCACACTAGCCACCATAAAGTATTGGAAAGACTGCTATGTGTAATTTGGAGTTGTTTTGCTTGGCCCTAGATAACAGAATGAACTCCAATTAGTGTATACAGCAGAGGAGAAGCCATTGGCTCACATCTCTCTAACAATTAGAGCCTGTCCAAAGTAAAATGGCCTGTTTCAGGAACTAGTGAGCTCCCCAGCACTGGAGATTTTCCTTAGGCGGCCACTTCTCATAGCTGCTCTAGAGAGGTTCACATTCATTTTGACGGCCTCTCAGGCTCTTTCCATTTATGCGAATCCATTATGACCATATGACAGACGTCTTCTTAATTCTTTCACATTTTAAATAAAATATTGTTTATGTTGTGATATTCTCTCTTCATAATCTACTTTTTAAAAAATTCTTAGACCTAATATTCCTATCTGGTTTATTGCAATAGCCTAGTCAGCATCCTTGGCTCAATGTGTCTTCCTACCCAATCTTGCATAGGTCTGTCCATGTCACCCATTCTTCCCACACCAATCAATCGATTCCATAGACTCTTTACTGCCTCTAGGCTCAAAGAGACATCACTCTGCCATTCAGAGTTCTTCATTACCCACCCTATCCCATCCTTCCAGTCCTCTAACACACTGGCCTCTTCCACACTGGCCTGGTTACTGTTCTTCACATATAATGCTTTAATTCCCATCTCTCTGCCTTGGCACTGACATGGAATGCTACATGCCTAGAAAGTTTTCCCTCATCCTCACCTCTTATGATCCCTGGATTCCATCAAGATTCAGCCCTAATATTATCTTCTATGGAAAGCTTTTCTAGGTCCCTTAATTGCTTGCATCTTTCCCTCTAAGGTTACCTTCTATCTCCTCTGTATGTAATGTGTATATCTCTATGTACACATTATCTGTCGAATTACAATGTAAGCTCATTGAAGGCAGAGACTGTTTTGGCTTTTTCTTTTCTTTTCTTTTCTTTTCTTTTCTTTTCTTTTCTTTTCTTTTCTTGGCTAGGCAATGGGGTTAAGTGACTTGCCCAGGGTCACACAGCTAGTGAGTGTTATTATGTGTCTAAGGCAGGATTTGAACTCAGGTCGTCCTGAATCCAGGACCAGTGCTCTATCCACTGCGCCACCTAGCTGTCCCTGGCTTTTTCTTTATATCTTCAGTGCTTATCACAATGCCTAACACATAGTAAGCACTTAAATTTTTTGATTAATTTTCTCCATCTTATATTATGATATTTGCTTTGTGGTGGGTGAAACATGAAATGGCCAAGAAAACAAAGGTTCGATCTTCTAAGCATATTAGTTTATTAAGCAACGTATGCCAATTGCCTAACAAAGTAGGACCAGCTTAGGTGGGATCTCAAGCGCAGGCCTGGACCCCAGATACAAAGGAAAAACAGATTTTTACACATTACAAACAATAAAATAAGGCCAATTAATTAAAGGGAAACAATACAATATTGGGTAACCTGATTTTTAATTGGATGGAAGATTAGGGACTTTCCAAGGGAGAGAGTAAACAGGTACAATTCCCTGAACAGAGAGAAGGAGGTGTCCTGCTCCCCAAGTATCTGTAAATAATCCAGGGAGCACAGGAACAATAACTGAATGATCAGTATGAGGCCAGTTTTCAGATAAGACATATGGATTGTGAGAAAAGTCCTTGTATTAATCTTTGGATCTGAGTGGGTTTCGAGGCAGCATAACCTAGGTCCTTAGATAAGGGTCACTAAGCAGCAGGTAGAAGGGCTCCAGCTTCCCAACTATGCAGGGCTAGGTTCAAACAATGAAATAAAAGGTTTTTTTTTTCCCAGTTTCCACAATTGAATAAAGTTTTCTCAAAAGACAGAAATTGAACTAGACCCATAATTGAATAGAAACTAAGCTAGCTCCAAAATTGAGTCACAAGATGGAGTCAGTATGGTTCACTCAATTCCTTCAATTAACCACTTGCTATCCTAATCTCAATTCCCTCAGTTTACAGAGAGAGCCAAGGATTTTAGGAGGCAGAAGAGAGGAGGAAGACAATTCTAGGCATGGGGAATATACAAAGACACAGAGAGGGGAGATCAAATGTGGTACATAGAGAACAGCCAACAGGCCAATTTGCTAGAATGTTTATAGCCTTCGACAAATGTGATCAAACCATCATGTTTGGCAGTACAATTGGTCAATTGGTGTGGGAGGAATGGGTGACATCAACAGACCTATGCAAGACTAAGAAGGAAGATACTTTGAGGCAAGGATACAGACTAGGCTATTGCAATAAACCAGCATAGGAATATTGACTCTGATGGTCCTTTAATACAGAAAGTCATGTTCTTACAGATCTTTCCTGTTTCTGCTTCTTGGCTTTCTCCAATCCCTGCCTTTAGAATTCCCTCTTCCAAAACCCTCCCTTGGGAAAATCCTTTAGTTCAGCTCAAATATCACCTCCTCCCAGAAGTCTAGCTCATTTGATAAAACATAAAACAGTCCCAATTAGGGCTATGAGTTTCTTTCCCACGCTGGGGATCTCTTTGGGACCTCTCTGAAACAAAATGGTCTTGAAGCCTTCAGATTTTTTGTAGCCCCTTGTCTACTACTTCCATGTGTACTTCTCACGTATATCATAATTATTTATATAGCATATTCCCAGCTAAACTGAAACGTCCATGAGGACAGGAATCAAAGCTCATTTAAAGTGGACATTTTCCCTGAGAAGCTACAGATCATAGTGGTTAGAGAGCACGCCTCAAAGTCATGAATCATTATGTCCTGTGTCTGGTACATACTGTCTGTGTAAGCCTGGACAAGTCAATCAGTCTTTCATTGCTCCCTGGAGAGCCTTCTCAGATAATAACAAGAATGGCAATAAGAAAAAGAACAACAATAATAATAGCAAATGTGTAGATAGCGCTTTAAGATCTGTAAAGTGCTTTACAAATATTGTCTCATTTGAACCTCACGACAGCCCTGGGAGGTAGGTGTTATTATTTTCACTATTTTACAAATGAAGAAACTGAGGCAGAGATGAAATGACTTGTCTGAGGTCACACAGCTAGTGAGTATCTGAGGCTGGATTTGACTTCAAGTCGTCCTGACTCCAGGTTTTTGCTGTTTAGTTGTTTTTCAGTCATGTCTCGCTCTTTATGACACCTTTTTTTTTTTTGAGGGGGGGAGGGTGTTTCTTGGCAAAGATACTGGAGTGGTCTGCCATTTCCTCCTCCAGCTCATTTTACAGATGTGGAAACTGAGGCAAATAGAGTTAAGTGACTTGCCCAGGGTCACACAGCTAATAAGTGTCTGAGGCCAGAGTTGAACTCAGGAAGAGGAGTCTTCCTGCACCACCTAGCTGTCCCCTGACTCCAGGCCCAGAGCTCTATTAATTGTATCATCTAGCTCCCACGTTATCAGTTGTAGAACAGTTGCTGACTTGAGTTGGCAGAGGGTATTTTCTAACCAGAGGTTTCCTACACATCACCAGTCTGAACATATGTCTGTATATATGTGTGTATGTGTGTGCATATACACATACTTTCATATACATGTGCACATATACAGGCATATACATGTTCATATATATAGGCATGTGTATGCATGTGGGTATATCCTAGCATTCAGTATAGTCTTTTATACTTACTTTTTAAGTTGTTTAGATAGAAGATGTTCAACTAATTAAAACCATATGTTCATAAAAGCATATATTAAGTAGTGAAAGTACAAAAGACTAAGAGTAAAAAAAACCTAAAGCCCTGGCTTTGAGCCCAGCTTCACCACCTCCTAGATGTCATTTAACATCTCCGAATCTCAATTTCTTCATCTACAAAATGGGAATAATATCTATCAACCTCACAGGGTTGTGGTGAGGATCAAATGAGGCAACTCATTTAAAGTGCTCTACAAATTGTAACGACACATGTAGAATAAGGTATTGTTATTACGTTTGAAAGGTTTTTGTTTTTTTTTTAATTTAAGCTTTCATCATGTAGAAAAGTACTTGTATATAGAATTTGCTGTTGTTGAGACATTTCAGCTGTGTCCAACTCTCTGTGACCCCATTTGGGGTTTTCTTGGCAGAGATATTGGAGTGATTTGTCAATTCTGTCTCCAGCCCATTTTACAAATAAGAAAACTGAGGCAAACAGGATGAAGTGACTTGCCCAGGGTCATGCAGCTAGTAAGTGTCTGAGGCTGGATTTGAACTCAGGAAGATGAGTCTTCCTGACTCCAGGTCTAGCACCCTATCCACTGTGCCACCTAATTGCCCAATTTAATGTAGAAAGGTAGGTTACATTCATTAGTTCTTGATAGATAGTTACCCTTTGCTTATGATTCAAACTCATTCCAACAGCTTCCTGGTTAAAGAAATGAGATTTTGACCCTGAACTTAACTAAAAAAATCTCTTCTATCCCTTTGACAATTACTACTTACCTCTCCTTGTGAAGATATAAACCCCTTTTGGCACCTGAGCAACTATGTCTGAGATCAAGCCATGAATCAATCAACAGAGGTCCTGGCACCGTGCTAGCTCTTGTGGGGAACACAAAAGAAGAGGACGTGATAGAAACGAGAGTGCTTTTAATGAAGAAGGTGATGCTTGAGCTGGCCTCAAAGGACAGGTAGGATTTAGGTAAGTATGGGATGGGGGGAAGAAGGGATTGTCAGGGGGCAATCTGGATTAGGTATGAACAAAGATGGAAGGAAAGATGAATGTGGTTTGTATGGTGGTCAGCAAGAACAGAAAGAGGGAAGTCTAAAGCGGGCAGAGGTGGGCTGGGGAGGGGCAGGGCTGGGTGAAAGGTGCTAGGTTCACTTTCAGACATGATGCATTTGAGAATTTGGTAGGTCTTCCAAAATGAGATGTCCATTAGCCACCTGGAAATGTAGGTCTCTGTCCCAAGCTCAGACCAGCAATGTGTCTTATCTCCAAAAAAACCTTTTCTAACACTGTCCATGTATCTGACCATTCCTGTCTAAAAAGGTCAGCATGAAAATGGAAATGAATTTCCACAGGGAAGTAGAAGTCAGTTCCAAGTCCTAAATCTGCACCACCTGTCAGCACAGAGGGAAGCATAAGGAAACTAAGAGATTAACTTACATGCAATGCCTGAAATGTCTATCCTAGATAACAGTGCTATCTCTTTGTACCAGCACCAATGTCTGGACGAGAGAAAGAGCAAAGTTTGAGAAGGCACAAAGGGGGAACTCTGGGGCACAATACAGAGGACAAACAGCATGGGTGGTAGGACAGAACAGGACAGGAATAGGGAAAAAATTTGCTAGAATAAGCAATGAGACCATCATTTAGACAAAGGATGAACATATAGAGAAGGCAGTGGCAACCAGATTCCAGCTGAACCCCAAGTGTGTGACACTAGACCAGGATGGACCCCAGATAATTCCTGTCCAGAATCACAATCCAAAACTGATGTCATTGACTAGTTTTGTCAGAAGTGACTCTAGGAAAGGTTGACTCAAACCTCTAGACTTATTCTAGATCAAGTCTAGCTTCTCAAATATGCAAGTTATTGTAGCAAAGGTGCTAAATGTAATTAGGTATTGAGGATCTCTGGTTCTCAGTCTTCCCAATGATTCTAAACAACTTAGTATATCTCTTGGCCCCAGTTTCTTCCATCCATAAGACAGGATTAATAATAATCCCATGTAACAGTATCATAAAGTTTAGTAGATTCATGCTTGGAAAACAATGCCAGAAATTTTAACAAGAACACATAAATGTAAAGTCTTATGGCGATATTAACCAGACAGGACTGAATAATTCTGCCACTGAATGATACCTGCCAATTCTCTCATTATCCCACTGCAGAAAAATAATCAGATTACACGGTGATACAGCCCTTGTGTGGGCACTACATGACACAGACTCACCACAAGGAAATCCAAACAAGTAATTACATAAAACTTGGGTCAACTTTCTTCCCAATTTTTATAAACCCATTCACATGTTGGTTTCTGAGTTAATGAGAATATTTCATAAGATATTTAAGAACACAGAGTACTTACCAACACAAGTTCCAAGTCGAATTACATAAAATAAAAATTCAAGTAAAAAACTCTGACATTTTTTCTTGTCAATAGAACACTCAACTTTATTTCATGCTAATTCCAGAGAATGATTTATTCCTATTACTCCATGTGCTGCACATCTTATGAAACAATATTACTTTGTGCTTTAGATTTTCCAAGGCTTTCCAAACATGTGTTTCCAAACACAATTCATCAGAGGTTGGGTCATATTTTTTTTATTATTTGTATTTTATAACTTATAGAAGAGAAGGTAATATTTAGAGAAGTTTCTGGTAGAATGAGAATAACATTAGGCCTCCCCTTAAACCTTAAAGTCATAAAGTCTCTCTCCAGTGCCTAGCACAGTGTCTGGTGCAGAACAGGTACTTAATAAATGCTTATTATAGACTTCAAGATGAATAACACTGTTCAGGGCTTTATAACATTTCTGTCTAACTTAATAGACATAGAAAGAGCACCTGGAAATAAAATGACCAGTAAGGATTTAGTGTATAAAATAATTTCCTACATTCTAAGCACACTTTCCTGGTTTCCTCCCTCCCTCCCTTCCTCCCTTCCTTCCTTCCTTCCACTTTTATAATGATTTTCACAGCCAATCGCTCTTGGAGAGAGAGCCTTCTGTAACAAAACATGGAACTGTTTTACTCCCTTCCAGCCACCAGGTGGCAAAGTTTACCAAAGAATGCCTGGTAATCAACAAACGTTTTCTATAAAAGCATGTGAACTGTGAGAAAACATCTCACAGCAAAAGAACTTACAGTCAAAGGCACTAAAATGTATTTTTCCCCAGTTCACATTGACTCTGTAACATTAAACAAATACACTTGATGATCTCCCTTTATTTCTAAAATTTGCCTAGATTTTAAAACAACATTAACCTGTTCGATCAACTGTTATCCTAGAGAAGCTATTTTTCATAGGTGTTGCTATTCTTACTGTAGGTTATCAGAGAAGAATGCTCCAGTACAAATCCCATAACATAAGCAGCCTCTTCAGACCTCTTGTACTCAAAGATGACTTAGAAGTTCAGGAAAGCTAAGAATCGTCTTAGGAGGATTTAAAAGAAAAAAAAACCTGCATTAAGAAATACTTGAATTCACTGGAAAGCCTACAAATTAGGAAATATTTGGGATCACCAATTTTCTTAATGAATGAAATAAAGAAGGAACAGAGGTAAAACTGATTTGGATCAATCCTTAAAATTATGGCTTTTTAATAAATGCAAGAAGAAATATGTGTAAAGGCCATTTCTGAATGGTCTAAACTTTTGGTTTCATCCAGTAAGGCCTAAGATCTGAACCATACAGTTGGTAAAATAGTGTTAAGAATTAAAAACAAAAAGTCTTCTATATGCCAGCCATAAAAAAGAGCCCCTCCCTGCCAGGGGTGGGGGGACACACCTTTTGAATAAACCAAATTGTCAAATATAATAAAGATAAATGCCTTGAGAACAACGTCCCACTTTCCCATCTCAAAGTCAGTCAATCCATTTCTAGCCAAATTGAGAGTCTCAGGGAACTACAGAAACCCAGCACAATTTCAGTTCCAATACTGGTGGTAGTGGGGAGAGGATTGGATAATCAGGGTCGTATGACCATATGGTCTTCTACCCACTTCATGATCAACACAAACCTTGAGTTCAGCTCTCAAACAAAATCAACTTTATGGAGATTTTTCTAAAATGGGCCTGAGCTGGTCCACATTCTCTGGTACCATTCCAGGTTGAAATAGACCTACTCAGTCCTCTCCCAGACTAGATTTTTCTGCCCCAGAACTGGGAAAGAAGCAGACTGGCATTTAGAGGACTGGGCTAAGCCATGAGGGTAAAGGAAGCTGTTCTTTGTTTAAATGTTTATGTCTACGTAGCACAAATATCGCAGAGCTGAAAAGTTACTAAATGGAAGGAAAGCGAGGGAAAAAAAATTTTTTTAATTACCTAAAGTTAAAACTTAAATGCATTTTTAAAGAAAATCTGTGTTAAGAAATTGAAGGACCTGGTTGGGACAAGATTGGATTGTGGGTGCTTTCCTGGGGCACTCACAATCTATAGCACACTAGCTTATACACTGTGGGGGCTCCATAAATATCTGGTGAATGAATCAATCAATCAATCGTAGGAAATTCAAGTTAGTTAGGATCTTTGAAGTCATCCAATCCCTTCCATTTAAACATGAGTACCCTAATGCCTAGAGACGTGACTCACTCCAAGTCACGTCGCTAAGTAGTTGAAAAGCCTTGAGTAGTTCTAGATCCTATTACACTACTACACCACATGGATTGTTTTGTTTTTGTTTTGTTTTTAAAGCTTTCCCAAAAGTAACCAAAGAGGCACAATGACAGTTTTTTTTTTAAACAGGCATATGGCAACAGATGTTTCCCATTACTGAGCACACTCCAAACTTCTAGAGTTGGGATGTTTCAAAACAAGATGCAACATATAAGTTTACAGTAACAAAAATATAAAGTTACAAGTTAAAATCACTAATCCACCACGAGATCTCATTTAGCATGGTAAATTAAACAGTACAATTTGGGTACTTGATTTTTTTTTTAATTTACTTCATTCTAAAGTTAAGAAATAAAACAAGCCTGGAATATATTCCATATCAAACTTATGGATAAGTTTTATGAATAACAATTTACGAATAAACAAGAGAAAGCATTGTGAGGTGTAAAATAGATAATTTTGATTATATTAAGTTAAAAAGTTTTTGTACCAATAAAATAAATGTAGCCAAGAGCAGAAGGTAAACAGAAAATGGGAGGGGGCATTATATGCAGATTCTCAGATGAAGGTCTCCTATCTCAAAAATACAAAGAACTTTGTCAAATCTATAAGAATATGAGTCATTCCCCAATTGATAAATGGTTAAAGGATATGAACAGGCAGTTTTCCAGGGAAGAAATCAAAATAAGCTTTAGCCATAAAAAAATGCTCTAAATCATTACTGATTACCTTGACTCTTCAACAAACATTCAACACGTAATTAAGCTCCTTTTATGAGCGAGAACTTGGAAATACAGGGGAGAGGAGAAAAGAGGGAAGGGGAGAAGAGGGGAGGTGAGAAGAGGAAAGGGGAAGGGAAAGAAGGAAAGAAAGGGTGGGGAGGAGAGGGAAGAAAGAGAGAGAGGGAAAGGGAGAAAGGAGAGAAAAGGAGGGGAGGACCACCAGAAACAGACTCACTAAGATTATTTTGAAAATGTGTGTGGAGTTTAGCAAAATGTTTTCCTAGTCTTTCAGAGCTATTAAAAAAAGACACTAGGAAGTCAGAGCCCCATGCTAAATAAAAAATAAAGAGGAAACAATTCTCTAACTTATAGAAAGTTCTGCATTTCTAGGAACCACAAGATTTAGCAAAAAATACATCATATCTCTCTCATGATAGCAAATCTTGGTTAAAACTGGCATAATGTATTTCTTCCAGGTCATCATTTGATTTTAGCATGCTAATAAAGTCATATTTCAAATAAGATTACAGCTGGGGTCTCAGAAAAAAGGACAGCTTTGGATATTAAATGATATCAGGGATGTTTCAAAGTGATACTTAAAAATATAATGAAATCATTGAAATATACTTCCTA